ACCTTCAACATGACAAAATGGGGGTCTGAATTCATGGCAGTTATCTTTTATAAGATAGTCAGCCAGGCAATCCAGAAAATGCTTATTTTCAATAGATGATCATCAAAATGAAAACAAAATTTACAATGGTCTCATAGAACTCTGGGGCCTTTGGAAACGGGTAGCCTCCCTCATTTTGAGAAAATACTCCTTATATCATGAATGAATGAATTGGACCACCGAAAGCTTATCTGCCTCACTACTGCAATGCATTTAAAATCGCTTTTAAGTGCAGCCATCCCCTCAATGACACCACATAAACCATGTTAGGTGAAATCAAAGATGCCACTGATCATAAAATGTCATCATTTTACATACAAATAGCAAAGAAAAAATGATAATTAGAATCTCTTGATATTAGAGATGTTAAAATGTGGTAAACAACGTGGGTCTCAGCATGGATGGGAAATCCCAGGGTAGGGTGCATTCATTAAGAATAGGGTGCTCTAACTTCCAGGCTTGGGTGGATGGCAGTCCTGCTCCGTAGGAGCTGTGGGACCTTGGGCAGATCACTTCACCTTGCTGTGTTTCAGTATCCTTATGTGATCTTAACAAGGCCTACTTCTCACTAAATTGCTGTGATGTTACAGTATTTAACATGTGCCTAGCACTTATTAGATGTCTGATTGCTTCTGTTACCATAAATCGGGCAAGAGTGGAGTCATTAAGTTAACATCTTAAATGGTTTTCTTTAATCTGAATGAGTTCACCCAGTCTCAGCTGCCAAACTTATAGACATTGTTTGAAATAAGTGGAAACAGCTTTGCTTCCTTAGTGCCTTAGCTCTCTAGAAATGAAATGAAATAATCTAAAATGGAGTCAAAGCATCTCCTTAAACTGAAGAATCACTCAGAGCCCTAAGGAGCCAATGACTCAAACACCATGGGTGATAGTTTGCATATTGCTTTGCGTGACATTTGCATGCTACCAATTCTTTTTCGCTTGAAGTGAAAACCCGCCCACCATCTGCTTCTTTCCTAGTCCTTCACGATCCCCTAGGTGTTCAGTTGGCTGCCTATGCCTAGGAAAAATAAAGCAACTGTCATGCATCAAGTAGTTATTGCATGTTCCTCTCTGGCTGGTTAGCTCAGCTGAAGAGAGAAGGGCAAGTCTGTCCCAGACTCTGCACCAGTCACCTGGCATCACCGTGGACCATCCTACACCGAGGGTAATCACTGACTCAGAAACCACTAAGCCACAAACAACATGAGGCAGCTCTTCCTGAATACAACCCCTGACACACATGTGCCTGATGGTGAATCAGATCATTCATAGCTCACTACTTAGCTCAGCAAATAGTTCCTTTTTTTTTAAAAGATTTTATTTATTTATTTAATTGATAGAAAGAGATACAGCGAGAGAGGGAACAAGTAGGGGGAGTGGGAGAGGGAGAAGCAGCCTTCCCGCTGAGCAGGGAGCCCGATGTGTGGCTCAATCCCAGAACCCTGGGATCATGACCTGAGCCGAAGGCAGTCGCCTAACCAATTGAGCCACCCAGGCGCCCCAGCAAATAGTTCCTGACCACAAGCAGCTTCTGAATCAAACCAGAGTGAAACTTCTCTTCTCTTGAGTGTGAAGAATTACGGGGTAGTGAACCTACGACAAAGATTTGCTTTTGCTCTCAAAGCTGTCAAGATTTAAAGTAAACATACAGCAGCCAATACCTGGCAATAAAGAAGAAAAAACAGCACCTAATTAATCAGGGACCTGTTACTAGAAACCTCTGTCAGCTCTAATCATCTGTTTAAATTCAGCCCTCAGATTCATGACTACTTGCCCATAAGTGATAATGGACTTACATTTATGTAAGTCTGATCAGAATTCACTTAGCTGCTGTTTCTTGGGAATAACTGAATATTTTTTTGTAAACTCAAATACCTATAATATATTATTAGTACATAAACTAGGCAGTGATCCTACTTAAGATGATACTGAACATCTGTTGTTCACACAAGAGTTGAAAACAGCACCCTAATGAGTAAGTGTCCTGTAAGTTATCCTTTAGATCGTGCATACAAATAACAACTCCTATTGCTCTTAGGTTTCTATATGACATATGACCCACACATGAACAGCAAACCCAACCAATCAGCCATAAAACCCCAAATTCATATCTGGATACTGGAGCTGGAACACTACACATGTAATTAAACTTAGCAGGTTTTTAAAGATACTATTTTATCATAGGATAATCTGTAAGTGTGTGAACTTTATAGCTTTAATAAGGATAAAAGTACCTATTAGACATTTCAAATTATTGCGAACAAACTTGTAAAACATCATACTTTTATCAACATTTAGGAACACGGGACCTGTGTTATACTGTTATTTCAAAAACAACTCTAAGAAGGATAAAAATTACCAAAAAAATCAACAAGTATAGCATTACTTTACTTTCCAAAAGTGTCACTCCTTATGGGATAACCTATAGGATGCCAAAAACTTTAGGTTTTATCTAGTCCACCACCACCATTTTTACAGATGAGGAGTTCAAGATCTGGTCTAGAAATTGGCACTTTAAAAACAAAATTGGGGAGGGGCGGGAGAAAAGGATCCCAGAAGAACAGTACTTGAAACTGGCAGGTCCCAGACAGGGCCCTAGAACTTCTGCGAAGTGGGGTCGAGGCCGTGGCTGGGTAAGTGGCTGCGTTAAAGAGCTTGGAGCCTGGAAGAGGAGAAGGCACAGGGGAGGATAATCCAACATGGAGATGCTCTGGGCCCAGAAGCTGGGTTACCTTCTGAGTCGGAGATCGTCTGGTGCAAGGTGCTTCCCTGGGATGAGGGGTGGACCTGTCCCCAGGGAATAAGGCATTCTGTCACCTCCCTACTCACTGAAAGGGCTAGAAAAGCAAAGTCATTACCAAGGGCGTGGAGCTAGCCATAAAGACAAAGGACTATGAAAGCAACAGCTCAATCACTGATTCAGTCTCCCTCCAAGCGGAAGGGCATCACCTCCTGATCTGCACGAAACACAACGGGCCCATAGGCCAGCTCCTCAGGGCCTGTCTTAAAGGCCCCTGAAGATTGGGGATTCCTATTTTTGAGAAGCTCAAACCCTGGGGTGGAGAAGGAAAGGAGAAGGAGCAGCTGTGCTGACTACCCTCCACTGGCCCCTACCCCAGAGATGCCGTCTTGGTCTGTGTGCATGCCCTGCCTGGCTGACCTCTAGGCCCACTACTCTCTGGGCTACTTGTCACCTGGCTCTCAGCTGGGCTCCCAGCTGGGCTCGTCCATTGGGAAGCCCTGGCAAGAGATGGGGGGAGGGGGAGAATGGGAAGAGAAAGAAGTCCAAGTGTTTGGTGACCCCACTCTCCAGGGCTCTGCTGTAGTAAATCCTCCCTGGGCCCTTGCAGGCTTTAGGTGGTAAATGTCTGCCTGAGCCCTAGCGCTCCTAGCAGGTTTCCTTTCACTCCTTCATTCAGTTGACCCACCTGAGTAGGAGTCTATCGTCTGCCAGGAGTCTGACATGACACTAAAGAATAGAAGCCATGGGACACACACAGTATCCTACAGACACTCCACTTACCCAGCACAATGTTATGTTGACATGGAGATATCTTAGAGACTTTAATGGAAATCCACATACACAGTGAAAAGAAACAGACCTTCAAAACCCATCAATTGTCCAACCCCAAATACTGCTGCCTTGGAAGTTCACTCTCTCTGACTCTGGGCTCTTCAGTGGGAAGACCGGGAAAGGATGCTTAACTAGAGGGAATGAAGACCCCCACAGGCTCTCCAGCTTTGTAAATGGAAGTAAAAGTAAGGTAAATTCCACTGCTGCCTGAGGGAGTCCCTCTTCAGCCAGGACCTGATGTTGACAGGGAAGGGGGGGGGGATGTGGGGCCAGACCTGGAGCAGGGCCAGGGCAAGCAGGGATGCTGGAAGAGGCATGTGACCCAGAGGGAGGGGACTGAGGAATGAGGGCATCCTAAGACCACAGACTGTGCAGGGAAATCACTCATCCTCTGAGGACATCTTGCAGAGTCCAGTACTCTGATTGCTTTCAAAACAAAGAGTTAGTCTTTAGCAAGAAGCCAACATATGCTGTGAATAAAGGGGCAGAGAAGTATGTAAAACATATCAGAACACTTTTCACAAAGTCTATAATTGTAAAATTCCCTGCACCTAAACAGAGGACACATCAGTATTTAAAATAAAAGCCAAGTTCATCTTATTCCCGGTAATGCTGGATAGCGTAGGGGTTAACCGTAATCTCTTGGCCAAAATTCCTTTCAGTTGAGCCCAGAAAAGAGGAGAATACAGCCTCTAAGGGCTTGCGCATAAAAGGAGAAACTCATGGGTTTCTGGGAGGGGACAGAGCGAAGTCACTGAGCAGAAGTGGAACCAGCTGGGGAGCCCTCCCGGGTCCCTTCCAAACACCCCTTCATTCAAATCCCTCTCCTCCCTCCTCTCACTCTCATGGTTTATGCTTCTGCAGTCAGAAAACATTTGGATACTACCAGTTTAGATTGGCCACAGGTAGTAATCACAGGTATATAGATTCATCACAAGTATATACACAAACTGCTACCATGGGCGAGTAGAAGACAGCCTTTACCTTTTCACACCAGCCTGATAATTCATCTTTTTTTTTTTTAACGATTTTATTTTTTATTTGACAGAGAGAGAGACAGCGAGAGAGGGAACATAAGCAGAGGGAGTGGGAGAGGGAGAAGCAGGCCTCCCGCCGAGGAGGGAGCCCGACGCAGAGCTCGATCCCAGGATCCCAGGACCACGACCCCAGGACCACGACCCCAGCCGAAGGCAGACGCCTAACGACTGAGCCACCCAGGCGCCCCCTGATGATTCATCTTAAATGCATTTTATTCAGATGTAGAAGGATCCTCTTTCTCAATATCTAATCAACATCTATTGCCAACCATTTAATTCTTTTAAAAAAGACAGAAATTATCGAAGGCATTGGAAATCAGTAAGAGCCAGGCAGAGAATCTGCTTACCTGCTATCCCCAGCATTTGCCACATACAGCTTCCCCAAAAGGCAAACCACAATGAGCGCCGTGCAGCCACCAGATATATTATATGAACTCCTCTCTCGTTCTATTTGTAGGTCCTGGAGAAGGAAACAAAATCAGTGTTGGATTGTGTAGGAACTCTTATCAAAGACTTTCTTAACCTCACTCCCTTACACAGCTCTCAGAGTCTGAATGTGCTTCAAAGACGGGACAAGACAATTTTTAGTACTTTTCTATCACCTGAAGAGCATTTCTCACTGAGGACACCAACATAAAACTGTCGTCTACTAGACCATCTGTAGACCAGAGACAGGAAACAAGGGGTGGCAACCAGATCTAATCAGAACAAAAACGAGGAAAAGAAAATCAACTGTATTCAATAAATACAACTTGTGGAAAATTTAGTCTTTGTAGAGACCACCTGAGCTGCCACATGAGAAATACAATCGACAGGCTGATAAGGCCAAATACTTGAACCTGAGGAATGTTTTTAACCCCAAAGTCTCCCAATAAATAGTTGCTTTTACAGCTAGATAAGAGAAGTGACTTGAAGGATGGTGTCCTCTATTCAAAGCAGGCAGGAGTCAACCCCCTGTCTTATTAATCAAAGACAGAAGCTCCCAAACTCTGATCCGACTTCATCTTCCCCCAGCCACTGATTCACAACAGGAACACACATTCACAGCGACAGCCAACATTCACTGAGCACGTCTTCTATGTCGGGCAGGGCGCGAAGCGCTGTACATAGGGAATCTAGCGGATCCTCACAACCCTATTATCAACCTCAATGTTCAGATGCAGAAGGAGGGTAACTTGCCCATTTTTACCCAGTTGGAGTTTGGATTTCTGGTTCTCCTCCTCCAAAGCTTATTATTACCTGCCACCTAATGAGGCCTCCCCAAGAAAATGAAAAATGGACCAAGACTTCCATTGACAGACAATGCATCATCCAAGACAGAGGTCTTTGTGAAATTCTGTGTCAGCGACAGAAGCACGGTTCCATGACCTGAGAAAAATGTGAGCTGAGCTAGGAAAACAAAATGAATGTTGGCTAAAATAATGCCCAACATTCCCATGGTAATCGACGGTTGGGGCAAAGGGAGGGATGAGGAAGCGGTGCTCCAGCTGATTCTCAGGATGCCCCTGGCTGGTTCTTAGAAACCCACAGAGTTCGAACTCTGCTGCTTCGACGAGCCTCCTCACAGAGAAGGGAAGAGATAATCCAGTAAACCAGCATTTATCAGCAAATGCGTGGTGCCAGAGGCCAGAGGTGGTAATACAAGGTCAGATAAATCACCAATGAGAAACTGGAAACAGGAGAAGAGCCAGAGTCAAGGAGACAGATGAAGATCAGCATACTGTTAAAAAGGAGATAAAAAGTACAAAAACAGGATCTGGGAGAAACTAACTTACTGGGGATCAGCCCAGTAAGGCCCACAGGCCACTACCTGTGGCCAATCTAAACTGGTAGTAACTGTAAGGGGGAGGGGTGGGGGAAAGCTTAGGAACCATGGGTAAGGGGTAAGAATGTGTGTATATGGGGTGCAGTAGTTAAGAAGTGAAGAAAAACTCCAGTAAGGGAGTGAGTGGACATCGAAAGTTGCAGAATCAAGCATGAGGACCACCTTTGAAGACTATACTGGATTTAAAAAAATGTACTCAAACCCTCTATCAATTAGTTTCTTAAAGGACTATTGTGAGGATTAAATTGGATGCTAAGTGTGAGGGGCTTGGCTGCCCATCTAGATCCTTTCCAGGGCCCAGAAGTTTCATGACTGAGAGCAGAGACCTCTCTTGCTCGCTGCTAGACCCTTAACACCTACACCAGGCCAGGTAAAAAAGATATTTTAATAAATATCTGTTAAAAATGGGCAAATGAAGAAATACATTTAAAGATGCCCAGGTTTCCAAATCATGTCCTCACCACCTGACCCCTGTTCATAATTCACAAAGGAAAAGCTTACAATGCAAATAAATGCTCACTGAGATGATGATTAAGCAGGAACCCATGCCTCAGTTCAGATGCAGCCAATTGACAAGAATGAATGAATGGTTACCAGAACCTGCACAGGGATGGCAGGAGCCTGGAGGGTGAGGAGAAAGAGGGGCACGGATACCAGCCAAAAAGACTGTAACGAGGAAGTGAAAGGGAAAGAAAATATCAAGTTGTCAGAGTTTTGTCTGTTTAACCTCCAAACAATGCATAGAAACAGAACCAACAACCCAGTTCACAAAGCAGTTTGTGGATGGATGTAGTCCCTTTCTTTAGCATTTAAATATAAAGCTGATGTTATGATAGACACGTATTTCATCAAATTAATATATAAACTGGTATAGCAAAAGTCCACGTTCAATACTACTACTCCACGACTGTTCTTAACATACTGGAAGGAATTGCTGAAGATAAGAGAAAGTATCCTTTCATATCCAGAATCAACATTTGTTTGAATACCTAACGTCTGAATGAAAGACAATTTTTATTTAAAAAAATCCCTTGAGCATCCAACTGCTTGCATGCTCCTCAAGGGCTGGAGTGTGCACAATGCTCGAAAGACTGAAATCACTGGTGTCATCCAAAAGAAAATGCTATGATACACAGAGTCCAAGTAAAAGCACCATCCAGGGGCATCTGGGTGGCTCAGCCATTGGGCGTCTGCCTTCGGCTCGGGTCATGATCCCAGGGTCCCGGGATCGAGCCCCGCATCGGGCTCCCTGCTCGGCGGGAAGCCTGCTTCTCCCTCTCCCACTCCCCCTGCTTGTGTTCCTGCTCTCGCTGACTCTCTCTGTCAAATAAATAAATAAAATCTTTAAAAAAAATTAAAAAATAAAAAAAATAAAAGCACCATCCATGGCAAAAATTTCCGTTGGGACTCAGACAAGTTTATTCTGCATCACAGGTGCATTATTTATCATGGTTAACATCATAAGAAAATCTGATTATGAGATTATTGAATTCTTAAAAAAAATCAAGACAAGAATGTACGTACAACACTATGATTTTCTGCTATGGCAGAGTTCCTATTTGCCTGTAATCTGGGGGGAAACGCTCCAGTTAGTTTGCCCAATTAATCCCTTGCTATTACATGAATAGTGTGATTCCATATTTTTTTCTAATTGATTCCATCATTTCTTTCATCTTTTCCTATAGTTCAACTACATTCCCTCTGTAGTTTCCCCAGCATAAGGAGCGCTAAATTTGGCAGCAGTCACTTAAACAGTGGACTAATGTCTAGCTACTTTGTATCCAGGAAACTTTGCTAATATGTTCATGCTTTCATCACCCCCCACCATTTGTGTGGTAATACACATGTGTGTGTGTGCAGATGCACGTGTGTGCACACACGCTTTAATTACATGTGTGCTCTCTGGGATTTGAAAGATCCCAGACTTGGTGACTAGGATTTGAAAGATGTGTTTCCATAGACTTCATCCCCCTGAAGGATTCACTGACATTAAAATACACTCTTCTATTTCTTCTAAAACTGGGTGTAACTAGAACATATTCTAAAAATAATTGCTTCCCCTCCCCTCCCTAGAAGCCAAAATAGCACATTTATTTTTTCCTACACCACCTACTCCTCTTTAAAAGATGTTTCACAAAATCTTAGTACTGAAAGGAACATTAAAGGACCATCTGCATGGTTCTTTTACTACCAGATCAAACACGATAAATGAAGTCAATAAAGATATTTACTGCTGAATTAACTACCCATTTTCTTCAAACCCTCAACTTTTCCAATTAGCTTAAGCTACTCACACTTTACATAAAAAAATATATGCATATATATATGTATAGTATAGTTATTATTATATTTTGTAAAACCTCAGGTTTGGGTATATTTTCAAAAAAAATCAATGAAATCATGGGAAAAACTGGTCACTGTTTTGTGCTGAACAAGGACCAATTTGGAATATTTCCCCATTATTGCTGTCAACAAACCCCAAGACATAAATCTAGAATAACTTACCACCAAAACACATGCATGTACTATCATTCCTTTTCAAGTATAATCTAAAAGGACCAACTTACACATTCATAATATTCAATTAACAAGCTAACTGTTTTATCCGCTTGGTCAAGAGTCCTATAGACCTCTCAAGGCCACCTTCTATTTAGCAGGACTGATTTGTCCTGTGTTGTGTCTGTCTAAATACTACATTTAAGCCAGGTTTATCTCTAAATCTTAAGAATGGATCCAATTTTTAAAGACTTGGGATTTCATTTTGCTCCTTTTTGTTTCAAGGCAGGCAACGAAGGAAAAGAAGAAATGTGTGAAATGAGACTAATTCAGCAGGAAAGAACTGCGAGAGAGAAAATATATTGCTCAGGATGGTTGTAATTTGGTTTGAAAGTCCCAGAGATGACTCAACTCCAGGATCATTCTTTGTTTCCTACCAATTTCAGGTTGCAAAAGGACAGCAACATCAGACAACGGAAGGGAGTGAGTGCTGGGTAGTTTCAATAGGCCTTGGCAGCTCCCCATAAATGGGTTAAAACACGGTTCTGAGCACATTGCTAATAGTGTCAGTCACAAATAATAAGATTCTGCATGGTTTCAGTATCTGGGTCTGATTTTGGTTTATTCTGAGAACAAGCCAATCTGTCAGCCAGGCAACAGGGAGGGCAAAAAAAAACCAGTACTGCCTCATGTTGCCACCTGCTGGCTGTTGGTAGAATCACATGTTCATTCCTTGGAGGAACTTCCTGTTCTACCAAAAACAAAGACAAAACAAAACTAGCTTAATTAAACACAGACACACATGCAGGTCCATAACTTACCATGAATATGGTAATTTTTGAAAACACTAGGATTTATAAACTATAAATAAGCTTTGCATTTATCCTCTTTTTCACCAAAGTGTCACCATATGGGTTTTTTTTTTAACCAATAAATCCAAGCTGAGTGCTATTTCCAGTCATTAGCTCAGTAACAGGAAGATGAATGGCAGTTTTACAAGTGAAAATACTGCCGTTTTCTTCCTTCGTAACAACCAAACTTCTAAAATATTCTTCACTCTGGCGATGGATCCATACCCACAGTGAAAAGGAAACAGGACAGAATTTTGAAATTCCTCCTGCCTTTTGTCCAGAACTCAAATTCTATAGGTAGTAGGCGACAAGGCTCACCTGTGCTGACTGGGCTGTGATTCCTATGAAAGCAAGGGTTTCGTGCAACTAGACCAAGAGTGAGCTACCTCCCTTACGAGTGTGAAATGCTGACGATGCGACCCCATTTGGGGGAGGGTTGGCAAGCAAGAAGACTGACATTGGGAGGGAGAAGACAGTTACCATATTCGCGTCTATCATCCGGGGCCCAGCAATAGCCTAACACCACAGGTGACAAAACTCAGCCGATGAAGTAGGCACTGTGACAAAGCGCCATGGGGAAGCAGAACTGAGGTCAGCTCAGAAGTTCCTGAGATTCTGGTCCTTTAGGAAACCGTGGTTCGTTTTCCACAGCGGACACAGGAAGAATGGACGATGCAGCCTTCTCAGTATGAAGGAAGATCCAAAACAAGATGCAATAAAGGGGGCCCAAGGGCAAACGTGCCTCCTCCGGAAAGCACAGGAAGGATCAGAGGCCATGGGTCAGAGGTCACCTTCACCACAAGCCACACGCTGCGGGCAGGCAACTGGAGGATCAAAGAGGAAAGGAAAAGCAGTGACCTCAAAGCAGCTCACGGTATTTGATGAAACTGCTCTCATCTCCACTGGTTCAAAGCATTTTCTCCACTTCTGGTAGTCTGTATTTTGCAACAAGTACCTACTTTTTCCTGGAAATCAGTGTTGTTTATTCTATTCTAGCGTGGTGTTTCTACGTCTTTTTAACCAATCCTTCCTTTCAGATAAGTATCTGCCTTTCACCACCTCACTTCATGTCACTTAGAATATCAAAATAAATGAGATATCATATCTCTATATGCATATAACGTGTGGCTCCAGATGCCCCCAGACATAAAATCTAACCTTTTATTTCTAGACCCCATGGTGTCTAGGAGAATGCTAGCTATAAAACAGAGGCTCAATAAATACTAGTGATTGCGGACACCGCAGAGAGAGAAAAAAGACCTTTGATTCTAGGTTGCTAAGCTGCTGTACATAAAGCAAAAACCCAAGTGAAAGGCAACCTTTGCCTTTAAAGATACTGTAAGTGACTTCTGAATCTCAGGAAGAGTAGCTGCAGAGATGTCAACATAAGGCAAATTGGAGGCCTAGGTGCTGGGCTTGGGGAATCTTTAGGATGAAAAGTGCAAGAGAAAGTAAGAAAGCCACAAAGCTGAAATAACGGAATCTTATTTAATACTGAGTTTTTCTACTACAGAGGATCAGAATGGCACAAAACCTGCAATACCTAAAGAACACCTAGAAAGAGGAAAGCTAGAAAGTGGCTGGCTCCTGTGAGGAAAAAATTTAGGAATGCCCGGGAAATTCCAAATGTGCCCCGCTCTGAAAGGCCCAAGAAGAAACCAGCAAGACCACGCCAACAAGGTAAGGAAATCAACAGCATTTTAGGCATTTCAAAAAAACCAAAGTTTGCCTTCAAACACTGACTCCCAAAAATGTAATATTGCAAGGGGGAGTAAAGAAAGAGGATCTTCTACGAGTTGGCAATGGCCTTCCAGGCCATTAAATTGAAGGTACACTGTAATTTCTGTGTTGTGGGTTCTAAAGCTCACAGCAAGTAGCTTAATGTTTAAGTCGGGCACATTTCCATGACACTGAGCAGATTTTTCCTGAAGTCCCTCATGAAGCAAAGAAAAAACAAGAGCCTCTCTCTGTAATAAGACATCATCCAAACAGGGACGCTTTTGAGAGTAAAAGGGGACAGTATATTAATAATTATTCTGGGCCCAAAGGCACCGACTGGCTCAGTCCCTAGCAGGTCAGAAGGTAGGATACCCTAGCAAACACCATACAAACCAATGATGAATATTCTCATTTAATAAGGCCAAGCACATGGTACAATGCCCAGGTAGGCCTCTGGCATGCTGGTGGCTAGAGAGACAATCTGGGAAAAACTTAAGTGTGAAGAAGAAGCCGCAGGCTGGGATGAATTGGAGATGAGATATAGCTTAAAGCCAAAAAATTCATGATGTGGTACACCAGGTCCTTGCAGACCACCTCTCCAATTCACCTTCCATCCATCATTCCTACCCCTGACATCAGCTTGTTGCCTTAGGCCCATCTGGGTTCTCTGATGTAGTTGTCCATGCAAATGGCCTCCTGTGTTTTGTCTGCTTCATTTTTAACTCAATTTTTATTTTTATTACCTCATTTTTACCTGAATTAAATATTTAGCATTCTGAACATCGGTGTCGAGAAACACTTATTCCCATCAGAGCTTCTGTAACAGGTGGGGAATGAGATTTTATACGATGCCTGAGTAGGAGTCAATTTTACTACCTTGATTCCTTTTTTCCTAAATAATCTACACCCCACCCCCCAGCATCACTTCCCCAAGGGAGCCCTTCGCTTCATGTCTTTATTGGGCTCCTACTTCACCCTGCATTTCTCCACTCAAGGCCCCTTCCACTTATATTTTACACTTAATACTCATCTTTGCCTAGTTCAGTGTTCTTTTCCAAATTAGTCCTGGCACAGTTAATTCTGATCAAATATTTATTGACTGAACAAATTACATAGGAAAGCGAAATGATCTTTTTGCTGGCTAAGTTTCCAAGGTAAAAATTCCAGGTTATAAACTGACTAGTTAAAGCTGGAAAAATTTAAAAGACAAGAATAAGGCCCTTTACTAAATATTTTTTCTGAATGAGCCTCTCATTTCAAGTACAGTGGTTGCTAGTAACCCCAGGCCATTAATGGGCAGAAACAGAGACCACTGTAGAGGCCTGCCTCAAGGTGACATTGGCCTCTAGTGGATAGAATTGAGAATACAGCAGGTCCAAGTAAAAGATGTCCCAGGGCAAAGCAATTACAGAAGGAAATGAGAAACCCAAAGTTTCTTTTGTTCTTCACTTGTCATGTCAGCTGATTTTTTATCCCATTAAGAGAATAAACTGGGCGCCTGGGTGGCTCAGTTGGTTAAGCGACTGCCTTCGGCTCAGGTCATGATCCTGGAGTCCCGGGATCGAGTCCCGCATCAGGCTCCCTGCTCGGCGGGGAGCCTGCTTCTCCCTCTGACCCTCCCCCCTCTCATGTGCTCTCTGTCTCTCTCATTCTCTCTGTCTCAAATAAATAAATAAAATCTTAAAAAAAAAAAAAAGAGAATAAACTACTGTCATATTTTTACCTCAATTAAATATTTAGCATTCTGAACATCGGTGTTGAGAAACACTTATTCTCATCAGAGCTTCCATGACGGCTGGAGAATGAGATTTTTATACGAAGCCCAAATAGGAGTCAACTTCACTACCTTGATTCTTTTTTCCTAAATAATCTTCTTCAGTTTCCTGGTGATTTTCTCGGGATTGAAGGCTACCAGACACCCCTGAGAGACAGCTGCATTTTAAATCACCTGCTAGTCAAAGGGTAAATATCTACGTGACAAGGAAACACGGTGACCCAAGAAGGGATGCATAAAAGTGAGGACAGGGTGCAAATACAAGGTGCGAACATATAAACTATTTTGCCTTACAAACAAATCAGATGGGGCGGCGTTGTGCAACACTATTACTTTTTTCTCCTTAGCACACAACCTAATCCTGGAATGTGCGCTTTGTGTACACTCCGTTCTGGGGACATGCTCCTAGCTGTTCCTGCTTCATTTAACAACAACCTGTCATCACTTTTGAGTGTCCAGGATTTTGTTGTTGTTCTTTTTAAGATTTTATTTATTTGAGAGAGAGAGAAAGAGAGATCACGAGCAGGGGTGGGAGGGGTAGAGGAAGAAGCAGACTCCCTGCTATCAGGGAGCCCCGATGTGGGGCTTGGTCCCCAGCCGAAGGCAGACGCTTCACCGACTGAGCTGCTCAGGTGCCCTGAATCTCCAGGTTTTAAGAACAATCCAGCACACTCGCTTTACTCATATCGTTATCACATCTTTAAATATCTCTTCTCTATTACTTGCACGCAGGCTGTTGCTCAGGAAAGAAAAATCTCTTGAACCAAATAACTGCGTCAGTAGAGAGTGAGCTCAGAGAGGGAAGGGGGTGGTACAGAGGGTGGTCCCTCAGCAGGCGGAGGGACAGGGGACACGGTGAGAGCAGCTGCAGTCTCTCCGAGTGTTTGTTCTCAGCACTGAGGCTGGGAGGGAAGGAGGCCAAATTCTTTGATCAGACACATCCAAATTTAAATGTACAAACAAATTCATGTTCCCCAGTAAAGCCGGTGATCTCGGATATTGGACCCTTGAGTCTCCTTTTTTCCTTTTATTATTATTATTTTTAAAGAGTTTATTTATTTATTTGACAGAGAGAGACACAGCGAGAGAGGGAACACAAGCAGGGGGAGTGGAAGGGGGAGAAGCAGTCTTCCCGCGGAGCAGGGAGCCCGATGCGGGGCTGGATCCCAGGACCCTGGGATCATGACCTGAGCTGAAGGCAGATGCTTAACGACTGGGCCACCCAGGTGCCCCTATCCTATTTTTTAAAGCACCAAGAACCACCTGGCCAATCACGGTAAAATCAGATTTGTATAGGAAAGGTGCTTCCCAGCACCTGACTAAAGCGGTTTCCCCCAAACACCTGGAATCCACACACATGTGTAACACTGATGGCAAGTACGCGCACATTTCAATTAAGTGGAATTTACCAGCTGGCACCAATGAGTCTGCAGAAAGAGAAGCAGTAATGCCTACTTTTAAAAGCCTGTCACCTCGAACACTGTCCCTCCCTTTCATCTTCTTAATTTTTGCCAGCACGCCATGCCAGGAACTCTTTCTACTACCCTCTACTGAGAATGGAGGCCCTCTGATCCGAGGTAGAAGACCGAGCAGAGCCACACAACCAGAGGCCGGGTCGGAGACGCACCCTTCCAGGGAACCTTCTAAGGAGCACGGATTCGGCTCAAGCGGCCGCCTCCACGCCAGGCCCCCGGACCCTTCCGCCATACCTACCATTTCCTTGAACGCACTTTCCAGAGCCCCGATGACCAGGCACTCGTGCGGAATCTTCTTCTCGGTGAAGAAGCGCGTGGGTGGGGTGCTGGGGGAGCCCGGCGCCCCCACGCCTCCGCGGAGCGAGGCGGCGCGGGTCAGAGTCCTGCTGTTGACGGGCGTGTTCTCAGGCTCCTCGCCCAGGCAGGTGGGCGGCAGAACGGCAGAGTTCTTGAGAATCTCCACGATGTCCTGCAGCTGCTCCGTGACGTGGTGCTGCAGCAGGCGGGAGGCCACCACGGCGGCCCCGGACCCTGCGTGACCGTCAAACAGCGACCAGTAGTGACAGGAAACGCCTTCTGATTCCTGGGGGAGGGAGGGGACAGGGGGTGAGAACCTCAGTGGTCAGTGCCCCAGGGTCACACTGACCCAGCGAGGCAGGGCGCTCAGCGCAGCCACTGGGTGATCTGTCTCTGGCTGGCCAACAGTGGGGGGGGGGGGGGGTCAACACATGGCAAAAAGGCTCAGGGATTTGTCACCACTGGGACCACCGCCCGAGGGATGGAGCGGTCCTTGCCTCTCTGCCTGGGGGGACGAGGCCAAATAACCATGCAAGCTCAGCTGACTACTTTGTGGCAAGATCCACCTTGATTTGATGTATAGATGTTTGAGGTAGAACTCCATGCCAACAGGTAAGTCTTTAGGAGTCCAGCTTTAACCCCTAACTCGTCACTTCCCTCTGCAACCCCAGAGCACGCTTGGCCTGGAGTCTCTGGAGGAAGTCAAACTCTTTTTGTAGATTCTTCAAGGGGAAATAAGTACACCCATTTTTCCCCTTGAGAGCCTTTTCACTCTCAGATAACTGACCCATCCTCTTTGGTCTACATCCTATATTTTTAGAACACGTTTTCCCCTTAGACACCCAGTCTAAGATGCAGCCAGTTCAAACCTCCTTCTCCTTTTTCCTGCCTACCTCAGTTTCCCAGCTGGTACTCAGCATCTTTGTTTCCTCTTCCGACCATAAAGCTTCCTACCCTAAAACACGTTCCCATGTTCCCTCATCTACTGTGGATTTCGTCTCGCAGTTATTTCTAGACTATTTCAAATGAACGTTTTTAAAAACCATGTTTGAATTACACATGCCTAAGATTTTAGCTATAGAAAAAAAGCTTAAATTAAATGCATTAATTAAATAGGTAAGATGCATAGGTAATTAAACAGGGTGCATATAACATCCTCTTCTGACTACTAGGCATATCTACCCCACAGCAATAAATATTGAGTCCTTTTCTAGCTAAAGCCATTAAATAAAGTTCTTTTGGTCTATCTTAGAATGATGCTGGAAGATACTGTATAGTTATGGTGACATATACCATTACTCCATCTGTGCCCTTTAAATTTCACTTTCATTCAATTCTGTGCCACGTGCTGAGAAAAAAAGTTGATTTTTAGTCAATAAATACTGAACGTTCCCTATGTGACAGGTGCAAAATGGACACTGGGGATAAAAAATGGCTGGAAGAGAGATCAGATATGGTCTGATCTTAATAATCCAGTGGGGAAGACCCATACTGATCAAATAATCACACACACAAATATAAGCTCACAATTCTGGTCATGGCTATAAGGAGAGGTTGTTGGTTCTTGGTGCTACGTGGCCAGCTTGCAGAGGGGCACGTGGAGGTTTCCTGGGGACATGCAGGGTAGCCTAAGAGCTGTTTGGAAGTTCACAAGATTATGAGGGGAAAGGAGAGACCACCAGGCAGTAGAGACAGCAGATGCCAAGGCCCTGTGGTAGGAAGGTGCATGATGCATGAGAGGAGACAGAACCATACCATGTGACTGAATAGAGGCGTGAAGCAGGAAAGGGGTGGCGGGGAGAGATGAGGCTGTAGAGGGACGTGGCAGCCAGACCACTCAGTCCTTCCAGGACACATGAAGGATCCTGGCTTTAGCCTAAGAGTAACAAAAAGCCATTGACTAAGATGGGGGTGACAAACATGTTTTTAAACAATCACTCAGGCTACACCGTGAGGATTAGGAAAGAGTGAAAGTGAGGATGCCAGCTAGGAGGTGAATAACACCCTAAAAAGATATTCAAATTCAGGCAATAACAAACACTTATGAATGACTAAATGCACTCTAACTCAGAGGACAGTAGAAAGAACAAGGACTTCAGAATTAGAAGATCTGAGTTCTAATGGCATCTTCAATACCAATCAGTGGGAGTGGGAAGCAGAGCAAGGTCAGGAAGGCCATACAGGTGTCAGACCCTGGCTGGGTCACTCCAGAGCCGGACATCCTGTTGCTTAACTGGACCATGTTTGCCTAGTAAGTAAATGTCAGGCGAAAGCTAGCTCACAAGGAGTTAACCTTTAGCAAGGTTAAATGGTGATTTATGCCAATGGAGTAGCTAAGTAATATCTCTCCCTCATGTGGAACTGCTATCACTACCATTACAATATGATTTTGGGTAAGTCATTTTCTGAGCTTCAGTTCTTCACCAACGCGAGAAGCTACTGTAGAAGAGTCCAATGCCTCTGCAAACTCTAAAAGTTCAATATTCAAGTAGTATAGATCCGTGTGACTGGGGGAGGCGGGGGCAGAGGTTGGGACCTGAAGACAAGACAAGAAGAATTTGGAGGGAATGAGAGCTGATAAGGCAGCCGGTGGAGGAAAATACCAGGAGGCTTCGGTTGTGTGGCTGATTGTGGTACATGCTTACCTGGTATCCACTCTTTTGGGTGGAACTTCCAGGAAAGCTATTGTTTTCCTGATAAAAGGGACAACTCAAGTGGCCTGGCCTTTGCCCTTTACCCTTCCCCCTTCCTTCCTGCCTGGGTCACAGAAGCAACACCTGGAGGTTGAGTAACTTTCCTGCAAAACTGGCTGAAAGCTGTAGTTCAAGGTAGTGGGACGGGAAGTCTGAAGGAACCCGGGCCCTTGGTGTCTTGCTTGGGATGCAGCACGGGCCCTCAACGGCCTGCCTTCTGGGCTGTCACGTGGGCTTCCTGACATTTTGATAAGGCACTGTTGCTAGCGTCTTTAACAAGAGCTGGGGACAAGGAGATGAAAGGAGGTGTATGTTTATCTAGTATTCTGGGACTTGGGGCACGCGTGGCGGGAAGGAGGAGTGCGAGATAAGGAACGCAGGAGCACACAAAACAAGAATGAAAAGTAGGTAGAAATGGCTATCAACCAGGAATAAAACTGAACCCCCTGGAAAATGTTCTTAATGTAGAGCATCTGTGGATAGAATTCAGTGAATCTATATTTTCACCAACCTCTGAAATTTAGCATTTCCTCTTATTATGAATGCAGGGCAACAAAGCATAGTGGGATTAGCAGTTCCTATGACTTGGGTCACCAATGGAAATAATGACTGTCATTCTACACAGCCTGAATTATTGTTTACGCTCATCATTACTTTGCAGTGGTCGGAGTTATTAAACTCACCACTAGCTTCAGTTGTCTTGTTACTTGCTGCATTAGTAAAGTACATATTCCCATATTACATCCTCACAACTAGGGAAAAGCTGCAAAAGAAAGGGATTTTTTGTTTATTACATCTAATTGCCCAAAGGTCCCAAGGCTGCCTGAGTAAAACCTGCACACACAGTCCTGCACCCAATTTAAATGAAAACCCAGCAAACACTGTTAAGGAAGCTGTGGGCAGGGCCAGTGAGGGATGAAATAGGAGCAACTGTGTCCGTGTCTGGGCACAGATTCTGTTACACCTAACGTATCATGTTTCTGGAATCATGATTTGAATCAAAGAAGATCAAACCCCGTGAAATAACGAGGCACACTGCAATGCAATGCTACTACATTTTTTAAAAAGCAACTCTGACATTTTTCTGACAAGCAATTCAACCATTTCCTTCAACAAGGCAAAAAGCATTCTGAAGGCACTGCAACAACAACCAGCTGACAAAATACCTGGGCAATTTTTAAGCAGTCAGGAGACGACCTGACTGGGGGACTGCTGAAGCGGGGCCCAGAGGGGCAACACCCTGCTTCGGGGAACACCTTTGCACAGCAGGGCTAGAAACTCTGCTATAGCTAACTTTCAAAATGCAATTAATCATTTTCACAACTAAAACTCGTAAAACATAGTTTTTCCACAAAGAAAGGTTGTTTCTTACTAAAGACTAAATAAATCCAGCACTGTTTGATGCAGGGTTCACTCCCAGCCCAATTCAGACAGTCAGTCTGAAGGTGGGGCCCTACCACTGAGCTTTTTTTAAGCTCCCCAGTGGATCCTAAGAGCTGCCCAAATTGAGAACCCCTGGTCTAATAGAAAGGAGGCCACTAAGCAGTTCCGGAAACCCTCATCCTAGTCTCAGATCTGCCATCGGTTGTCTGTGTGACCCTGGATGAGTCACTTACATCTCCCTGAACTGACCAGAACAGCAGTGTCCAAACTGTTTCTTGTTTCTGAAGTGGTACCTTAGGAAAGAGGAAGTGGGTGTTTAAAGGATAAGGTCCCGTTGACTATTAGTCCAGCCAGAGCAGCACAGATGTGTCAGTTATAAACATCAGGGGTTTGCAAAAGATTTTGGACAAAAGGATTCAACTGTTCATACTAATTTTTTAAAGCTTTTGGACTAGGTAAAACCAAATTCATCAAGAGACTTCAAAATCTTCAGTGTCCTTCTATGGCAAGGAACTTAAAGTGCGGGATGTATTATTTGGGAAACTACAACCACAAAGGGGGCCCTCCCCACATGCTTTAGATGCCAACTCAGCTCTTAAAGCCTACGAGACCATCAAGTAACAGAAACATCGAGTTACGGGACTACAGCACTCTTCCAGTCATTTAATAAACCTTACATAGCAGGCAATATTCTAAATGCTTTATAAATATTAGCTCATTTAATCCTACCACAATCCATCCTGGGAAGAGCCACCCTATGACGTGTGGTTATCATTCCCATTTTATAGAGAAGGAAAAGGAGGAACAGAGAGTCTAACCATTTAAGGGTACCACCTTTAAGAGATACAGCTGGGAGCAGGTTCCATGCTCTGAGCCATCAACCCCTTGCTCAGCTGAATACCCTCATGCACACTCTACCTGGGGGGAATGCTTTGTCTAATGTACACGTACCACTTAGATCTGCTTCTCCTCTCTGCAACCTGAGTTGTAACCAGAGTGATTTTTTCTAAAACACAAAATCTGACCATATTTCTTTTACCAGCCTAACCTCCTCCTTTGTAGGCTGGCTCCAATCTATGAGCCAGTTTGCAATCTCTGATGTAGTCTCTGATTCTCTCTTCACATTCTGTCACTCCAAATCCCACCCACCAAACTATGGCACTTGTAGCTCATCACAAACCACCCTCATCCTTTGCCTGACCTCCCCATC